ATGTCACTTTCCTACAGACACAGCAGAGAAGGGTTTTAAACTGATATGGTTATATACATTTTCTAATAAAGTTATATGAATTTCAATGACAGGTAAGTAGCTGGTGGCTGTGGGGAGCTGTGGTCTTCACACACTTCACAATGCCTTCAAGTGTGGCTTTGTGGCATGGGAGCTGGACAGACTGCTGAAGATATAATAAGTCTGTACTACATTCATAATCCCCCTTTGCGTATTTTTGCTGTAAATATTGATTTGCAGTCTGATCATGATCTCCACACCTCTGCTGTTAAACCCAATAGACCCCTTTCACTGTTTACAAACAATGTACTAGCTGCCTGGAAACAGAGATGTAATTGATCAAATTAATGAATGCACCTCTTCCATTTAGTGTGACACAGCCATTCCAGTGATGGGGCCACAATTAATGTTATCAATTCCACCTGGGAGCAGTGGAGCAGTTTGCTGCCAGTATGACATCATCAGAAAAGGGGTGTTTAAGAATAATAAGAATAAGAATAACTTCATTCATCCCTAATGGGAAATTCAATTATCTGTCAGCTCATCTATTATATGTCAAAGAATTATAGAGCATGATGGCTGTTGGTATATAGGATCTTCTGTATCTCTCCGTCCTGCATCGAAGAGAGAGGAGCCGTCCACCACAGTTTTTTTGGTCCATCAAGGTGTTGTAGAGTGGATGATCTGGGTTGTTCATGATGGCCTCTAACATCTTCAGTGTGCATCTCTCCACCACCTCCGTCAGTGTGTCCAACCTGACTCCAATCACAGAGCCAGCTCTTTTGACTAGTTTGTCCAGCCGCCTTGCATCTTTGTGTCTGATGCTTCCTCCCCAGCAGACTGCAGCATAAAACAACACACTTGACACCACAGACTGGTAAAACATCTGCAGCATCTTACTACAGATGTCGAGAGATCTGAGCTTCCTCAAGAAATAGAGGCGGCTCTGCCCCTTTTTGTAGAGAGCGTCTGTGTTTAGGGACCAGTCCAACTTATTATCCAGGTGTACACCTAGATACCTTTAGCTTGGCGCCACCTCGATGTCCACCCCACAGGTATTCACTGGCTGAAGAGGGGGCTTGGACCTGCGGAAATCTATGATCATTTCCTTGGTCTTTGAGGTGTTCAGGAGGAGACAGTTCTTGTGACTCAAGTCACTGAAGGCTTTTATCAGGTCCCTATATTCAGACTCCTGCCCATTCCTGATACACGCCACAATAGCAGTGTCGTCCGAGTATTTCTGGATGTGGCAGGGCTCAGAGTTGTATTTCAATGTAGTTGTATTTGTATTTGTATGTTGGGTTGGATGGTGTTGAACGCGCTTGAAAATCAAAGAACATGATTCTCACATAAGCGCCAGGTTCCTCCAGATGAGCTAGGGCACGGTGAAGCATCTAGAGAACAGCATCGTTCACTCCAATGTGTTGTTTGTATGCAAACTGCAGGGGGTTGGGTCTCAGTAGGCGTAGAATCAGCCACTCCAAGGTCTTCATGATGTGCGAAGTGAGGGCTACTGGTCTGAAGTCATTAAGTTCAGCTAGACATTTAATTTTTGGTACCGGCACAACACAGGAAGTCTTCCACAGTGCCGGGACCCGCCCCGACTGTAGACAGAGGTTGAAGATCTTGTGGAGAGGTTGACACAGTTGGGCAGCACAGTCTTTGCAGAGCCTTGGACACACACCATCTGGGCCAGCAGCCTTCCCAGAGCAAAGTCTTCCCAGCTCCAACCTCACCCCCAGGTCCTCCAGGGAGGAGGAGGAGGAGGAGAAGCATTGGAAGTGGGAGTGGCTGCCGTATTGAATCTGTTGAAGAACTGATTGAGTTCATCAGCTCTTTCTGCATCACCCACCACTGGCTGTCTTTTCTTGTTGTTGTAACCAGAGATGGTGTTGACTCCTCTCCACATTTCACGGATGTTGCTGTGTTGTAGATTCCTCTCCAATTTCTTTTTGTATTCCACCTTTGCCATCTTAAGTCTCTTCTTCAACTCATGTTGCACTTGTTTGAGCCGTGCTTTGTCACCATCTCTAAAAGCTGCCTTCTTCTCATTGAGGATTGCCTTTATGTCACTGGTAATCCAAGGTTTGTTATTGTGGAAACAGCGTACAGTCTTTGTAGGTATGACTGTGTCTCTACAGAAGTTGATGTAATCAGTAAAGCAGTCAACCTGTCTATCAATGTCCATGATATTCTCCTCTGTTTCCAGCAGCACATCCCAGTCTGTGCATTCAAAGCAGTCTCTTAGAGCCTCAGTAGCCTCTGGTGTCCATTTCCTGACTGTGAGTTTAGTTGCAGACTGCCTCCACACACGGGGTTTGTAACATGTCTGCAGAAGAACCAAGCTGTGATCTGACCTGCCCAGTGGTGGTAAGGCAAAGGCTCTGTAAGCTTCCTTGACATTGACATACAGCAGATCAAGGGTTTTATTTTCTCTAGTTGGACATTTAACAAACTGTGTAAATCCAGTCAGGTGAGAGGAGAGGGAAACATGGTTGAAGTCTCCTGATACTATCAATAGTGCCTCAGGATGTTTAGTCTGTATCCTAGCAACGAGTTCATGGAGAACTTCACATGGAACTTCAGCAGTTGCCTTGGGTGGGATGTACACAAGTATTGTTATGATATGACTGAATTCTCTTGGTACATAATGTGGCCTCATACCAACTGCCAAAAGTTAAATATCTGGACAACATCTTCTCCTTGACAGTAATATGCGCAGGACTGCACCATCTCTGGTTCACAAATAAAGCCAGGCCCCCACCTTTTTTCTTGCCACTAGCTTTAGAGTCTTTGTCCGATTGTATGAGAGTGAAGCCAGGTAGATCCACGTTGGAGTCTGAGATGTTTTGATTCAACCACGTTTCCGTAAAACACATGAAACTGCACTCACGGTATACTTTCTGAGTCTTCACCAATATCTCCAGTTCATCACTCTTGTTGGGCAGACAGTTGACATTTCCCATGATGACTGATGGCAGAAAGGGCTTATATCTCCATTTCCAAGCCTTCACCTTTGCACCAGCATGGCAACCACGAAAACACCTATTAATCTCGGCTGGAAAAGGATGGTGTCTCACAGACTTGCTCCGTTTCAACGAAAAAAGCTCCTCTCTTGAATTAACTCTTCTCTTAACAGAAGTATCCATTAGTAGTTGAGAAAAATATAATAAAAATTCAGTAAAACTAAGTACAACCATAATGTAAATTTTATCTGTGCACATGGTTCCCCCCACCGACAACCCACTGTACAACTCTGTACATTGCTGTTGTGTTAACTGAAACTTTTATTCTAATTCTAATTATTTAATTTTTAATTTGTATTTCTATTTTTCAGTCTTGTTTCACATTGTCGTGGAAGCCATCAAAAACATTTCACTGTACAATGTTTTTGAAGGCAATGCACACATAGTTAAACAATGTGCCAGCGAGGAGGGAGGACTACATGCAGGTCACCAAGTCAACAGTAAACTTTTATTTCAACCAGGGTAGTTTCAGTGAATCAAGAGGGTTTTAGTTTTGTATGTTGCCACCTTTTTCACTACAGAGTTTGCAGGTCTCAATAATGACCAATACATGTCTGATTGTTGATGTACTGATTTATGTTATTTTTCTCACCTTTCTTTATATGTTTTGTGATAGGTGATGTTATACTGGAGCAGTTCACTGTTCTCCTGTCCCTTGAGGGGAAAAGTGAGGAGTTCCACTCTTTCCAACCCATGCGAAAGAGAGTGGACGTCTTCTTGTGTGATGTCCTCAGCAAGCCCTACCCTGACCTCTGGGCTTTTTGCCAGAAGCTGCTCATCTTGTCACATGGTCAACTGTCTGTCGAGAGAGGCTTATCGGTGAACAAAGAGGTGGAGACAACCAACATAATGGAGGACACTGTTGTTGCTCGGCGGCTTGTGTGCAACTATGTCGCTCTACACTGAGGTGTTACTAAGGTGTGTTAATTTCATCAAGTTTCTTCATTTATTAAAAAAAACTGTCAACAGGCACAGCGGTAGAGAGCTTTAAGTGATCTATTAGTTTTAAAAGCAATGCAATGTTTTATAATACAATTACATGAATTTCCCTGACAGGTGCCACTCACTAAGGAGCTCCTGAAGACTGTGGAAGGAGCTAGGACCAGGTACTGTGACTACATTTCAGAGGAGAGAAGGAAGAAGGAGTTAGAAGCGCAGGCTCAGAAGAGAAAGGCTGCAGAGGACAACTTCGAGAAACTAAGAACGAGAAAGAAAACCATCCTAGAGGTGTGTCAAGGTCTGGCCAGAGAGGCTGATAAGTCAGTAGAAGAGGCAGAGGCCAAGTCTGGCACGAAGCTGGCCAAGCTCATCTCCAAGTCAAATATCCTGCGAAAGGGCAGCGAGGAGAAGTTGGCTGAGCTTGAGATCATTGAGAAGGAGATAGAGGCAAATGGAGCAGAGCTCAGAAAGATGAAGTGACTTTTTTGTTGTTCGGGACTAGTTCAGTTTTCTTATCAACCAGGTTTGATTGCTCTGGCTTTGATCTGAACTGAGCTTTTGTGACTGTGTTCATATGAAATGACTGTTTTCTACTTTAATAAATTCACTTTTGATTAATTTTGGGACTTAATTATTTTATATTTATTATCATTCAGACTTTTTTGTCTGTATGGCAGTGAAATCCCTAATTTCATCACCTCGAGGATGACAAAAAGCTATCATATGGTGTCGCGAGTAGGTCTAAATTCTATTCAAAGAGGTCTAAAAAGGTCTCCAAAAGTCTTAAATTTGACTTGTAGGAACCCTGTCTACTGCTGCCTTGATCAGTTAGTTAGTTTGTGTTATTGTGTGACCTATTGGGTGAATCTGGACTAACCCTTTAAAACACTTAAGTCACACAATAACACAAGCTAACTAACTGATCGAGGCAGCAGTAGACCATCACCTCCAGTGTTCAGAGATGTTAAATCACTGTTTTACTCAGTGGAGTCTGGTTTTGAATCTCAGACTTTTAGACTTTTTAGACTTTTATTTATTTGCACATATAAGTATAAAACAAAACAAATACATATACATATCTCTCTTGGTAGAGAGGAAGATAAGGAAATGTGCAGGTGAGGTCGGAAACCCGAAAGGCTTATAGAGTGACCTCACCTTGACCTAACAATAATTTAAGCAAAGAAAAGAAATAATATTGGCATAGAATTAAAAAATAAATAAATAATAGTAGTAATAGTAGTAATAATAATAATAATGATAACACTAAATAAATAAAGGGGAAAAAAATTATATGTTCTGTTAACTTCAATAATAGTTTCTTTTTGAGTATTGCCAAGGAAGAAGAGCTGTCAGCCAGTTGGTGATGTTCATTCCACAACAAAATCCCTCTGTATTTGATGGTATACTGCCCTCCAGTGGTATTGCAACGGGGTCGGTGCAGGTGACCTGCTTATCTTGTTGCGTGCAAATGGAAACTTGAATTTATGCGAAAGTATTGTTGAAATTGATTTGGTAGTACATAGGCCAGTCACGATAACAAACTTTGCTGGGCGATTAATTGCGTCAGAAATTATTGCGATAAGCGATAATATTGCGTAATATTGTGCTTTTAAGACCATTTTTATTGTTGTAATTTTGCTGTTTTGAGACCATCTTTTAAACTTCTATAATGATAATAAAGGCATAATAATACAAGTACACCCTTAAACATTTATTTAACGATAATATTTAGGAATGCAAAAAAAGAAAATTTGAATATCAGAAATAACATGTAAAACTACCAAAATAGATAAATAAAGACCTTATAAATACAAAAAAAGACTCTCAGTCCCTGTTAACAAAAAGTGCACTGTAATAGAAAAAAAAAATCAAACAACCAAAAACAATAAAATGGACTCTCGGTCTCTTATCAAAAATTGCACTTGAAAAACCCCCAACCAAAAACGATATATAAATTAT